ATCTAATTGGTAGGTGGCAGCGAAGGAGGAATTGGCGGTTCCCGTCACATCGGTACCAGCCGTGTTAAGAAATGTGGTTCTGTGGTCCTGGTAGGGTTACCAGGTCCTACCTGACTGCTGGCGAGGGGACTCCTGAGCCTTCCTGTGGCTCTTCTGGCGTGCACACGAACGGCATCCGGAAATGATGTCGTGTTTCTGACGTTCAATTTATACCCTGCCCTCGTCCACAAATGATGAGCTGCAGCTCGTGTTTTGGAAACCTGGGGAAAGGAATTGAATTACAGCTGTCCCCGACTGTAAACTCCGTATCAAGATGGCAGGGACTGATATATCGGGATTGGTGTTGCTCTGTATTTCAAGCAGCACAACGTAGAAAATTTACTATTCCCCCCCCACACACACACACAGAATCACGATGTGTAGAAATACCAGGTACTATCACTGACCTAGTAGGGTTGCCAGCTCTTGTTTGAGAAATTCCTGGAGATATGAGCATGGATCCTGGGAAGGGTGGGGTTTAGGGTTGCCAGACTCCAGGTGAGTCTAGCAACAAATAAATATACACTGCAAAAACCTTATAACAAACTAATGTGTTCTATTTATAATCATCATTTAGTAAAGTGCATAAGGTAAAGGTAAAGGTTCCTTTGCTCGAAAGCCAGTCCAGTCTGACTCTAGGGTTGCGGTGCTCATCTCCGTTTCAAAGCCGAAGAGCCAGCGATGTCCGAAGATGTTTCCGTGGTCATGTGGCCAGCATGACTAAACACCAAGGCGCACGGAACGCTGTTACCTTCCCACCGAAGTGGTACCTATTTATCTACTTGCAATTTCTTGCTTTCGAACTGCTAGGTTGGCAGGAGCTGGAACTAGAGACGGGAGCTCTCTCCGTCATGTGGCACCCGGGTCTCGAACTGCTGAACTACTGACCTTCCACAGCCTGCAGTTCAGCGTCTTAACCACTTGAGCCACCGCAGCTCCAGTGCGGTGCATAGTGTATCATTATTTCATCCTAGTCAGGTATAAATATTCATTACATTCAATAAGCAATAACATTCAGTACATACAGATTGATAACTACCAGACCATTTTGCAACAATGTTTTAAAAGTCAAGCCCCAATGGGAGTTTCCAGAACTAAAAGCCCACTTCTCCTTGCATGAAGGCTTAATAGTTGTATGGATGATTTTTTTTGCCGGTCCTACAAAAGACACATTATGCAGCTAACATTCATAGACGGAGTACGCCTATCATTCTCAAAGCTGCATTCTTTGGTTCTGGTCCCTGAAATACATGGATTTAGATCTCTGCAGATCAGACCACACTTGGATGTTAGATATAGACAAGTGGCAACTTACAAGAAACGTGTGGGGAGGAGGCATCCCACCCACCCCCTTCTTTTGCTCTCTTCTGTCTAATAGTTGTATGGATGCTTTTTTTTTGCTGGTCCTACAAAAGACACATTATGCAGCTAACATTCATAGACGGAGTACTCCTATCATTCTCAAAGCTGCATGCTTTGGTTCTGGACACTGAAATCCATGGATTTAGATCTCTGCAGATCAGATCACACTTGGATATTAGATATAGACAATTGGCAACTTACAAGAAACTTGTGGGGAGGGGGCATCCCACCCACCCCCTGCTTTTGCTCTCTTCTGTCCCCCCCCCTTTTCAAATAATCTTCCACCCCCAGTTTGGTGTAGTGGTTAGGAGCGCGAACTCTAATCTGGGAGGACCGGGTTTGATTCCCCACTCCTCCATGTGCAGCTGCTGGTGTGACCTTGGGTCAGTCACAAGTTCTCTCAGAGCTATTCTCTCATGAGCAGATCTCGAAAGAGCCCTCTCAACCCCATCTACCTCACAGGGTGTCTGTTGTGGGGAGGGGAAGGGTAAGCAGTTCTGAGATGCCTTTGGGTAGTGAAGGGTGGGGTATAAATCCAATCTCTCTTCTTCTTCTCCCCTGACAATCTTATCCCCCTCTCTTTCTTCCCACTTCCCCTTCTCTGTCAATCTTTTCCCTATATTTAACCCCTCTACCTGTCAGTATCCCTCATCTCTCCCCCCCCCTTCTGCATGGGCAGTAGAGCCCCTTGGAACAGCTGCGTCAGCTGTGCAGGTGAGTAAACAGCACATGCGTGGACAATATTAACCCCCCCCCAAGCCCCAATATATATATATTTAAACTCTTAAGATTTTTCTGCAAAAATCTCTCTTCTCTCTCGGTGGGCCTGATTTGCGGATTTAGGTATCCGCAGTTCTGCTCATACTTGAGAAACAGATATAGAGATAACCAGTGCATCGTGTGCAGTTTCCGATTGCCGGAAGGTGTGAACCGTGCGCTCCAGATCTTGTCCTTGTGACCTCTCCTGCCAAGGTGACTTCCTGCAGAGCTCTGTGAAATACTTTTTGACCGGAATCATTTTTGGAGGTGGGGCGGGGGAAGAGGGGGAGCTAGACAGCAAAGTATCCCCGGATCAATGCTCCCTCTAAGCTATGGAGTCTCGTGGGCAAAAATTCTACTTTGTGAACTACGGGCATTCAAGTTGTGAGTGAGCGAGCGATTTGGCTGCTGCCTAAATTAGTTTGCTCTGGAGCCAGACTTCCTGAGCGAAGACAGAAATGTGTGAGCCGGAGGCTAAAAAACGGTGAGCTAGTTCACACGAACTCAGCTTAGAAGGAACCAGAGGTCATTTCGGGGGGGATCGTGGGAGATCGCAGTTCCCCTGGGTGAGGTACGGGGGGCGGGGCACATGATGAAGCCCCGCC